GAGTCCAGAAAAAAGCAGGGGTAGCAATCTTATTCTCAGATAAAGTAAATTTCAAACCAAAACTCATTAAGAGAGACAAAGAAGGACACTACATCCTTGTAAAGGGAACAATTCAAGAGGAAGAGCTGACAATCATAAACATATATGCACCAAATATAAATGCCCCCAACTATATAAAACAAATATTAAGTAACATGAAAAACCAAATAAGCACTAATACAATTGTAGTGGGGGATTTAAATACCCCACTATCACAAATTGACAGATCTACTAGGCAGAAAATCAACAATGAAATAATAGAACTGAACCAAGCTTTGGAACACATGGACTTAATAGATGTTTATAGAGTATTCCACCCCCAAAAACCAGAATATACATTCTTTTCGGCTGCACATGGATCATTCTCCAAAATAGACCACATACTGGCTCACAAAACAGGTCTAAATAAATGCAAAAAAATTGAAGTCATCCCCTGTTTATTATCAGATCATAGTGCAATCAAACTAGACATCAATAGCACAAGAAACTATAGAAACTTCACAAGCACATGGAAACTGAACAACACTCTCCTAAACAATCAATGGATTACAGAGGAAATTAAAGAAGAAATTAGACAGTTTTTACAAATAAATGAGAATGCCAATACAACATACAGGAATCTTTGGGACACAATGAAAGCAGTTCTACGTGGAAAATTCATAACATTGAATGCCCACACTAGGAAAACAGAGCGGGCTCAAATAAACAACTTAACGATGAAACTTAGACTCCTAGAAAAACAAGAGCAAGAAAAACCCAAAGCTCGAACAAGAGAGGAAATTATAAAGATCCGAGCAGAAATCAATGCAATTGAAATTAAGAAAACGATACAAAAAATAAATGAAACAAAGAGCTGGTTTTTTGAAAGAATAAATAAAATTGACAAACCCTTAGCTAATCTTATCAAAAAAAGGAAAGAAAAGGCTCAGATCCATGCAATTAGGAATGAAAAAGGCGAAGTCACAACAGATCCGAAAGAAATCCAGAGGATCATGAACACCTACTTTGAGAACCTGTACTCTAATAAAATGGAAAACACAGAAGAAATGGACAGATTTCTAGATACTTATGAATTACCAAAGTTGAACGAAGAAGATAAAAACATTTTAAACACCCCAATCACAATCAGTGAAATTGAAAATGTAATTAAAAACTTACCAACAAAGAAAAGCCCAGGCCCTGATGGATTCACTGCTGAATTTTACAAGACATTTAGAGAAGAACTACTACCATTACTCTTCAAACTTTTCAATGAAATTGAAAGAGAAGCTATACTTCCAAATTCATTCCTGGAAGCAAGTATCACTCTGATTCCCAAACCAGAGAAAGATACAACCAAAAAGGAGAACTACAGACCAATCTCCTTAATGAATATAGATGCAAAAATCCTTAATAAGATACTAGCAAACAGAATACAGAGGATTATTAAGAAGATCATCCATCATGACCAAGTCGGATTTATTCCAGAGATGCAAGGGTGGTTCAACATACGAAAGTCAGTGAATGTAATACATTATATTAACAAAGTCAAGGACAAAAACCATATGATCCTCTCAATAGATGCAGAAAAAGCATTTGATAAAATTCAACACCCATTCATGATAAAAACCCTGCAAAAAATTGGAATAGATGGTCTATACCTCAATTTAATAAAGGCTATTTATGAAAAACCATCAGCCAACATCATATTGAATGGCCAAAAACTGAAAACCTTCATGTTAAAATCAGGAACAAGACAAGGATGCCCACTATCGCCACTTCTCTTCAATATAGTTCTGGAAACATTAGCCACAGCAATTAGACAAGAGAAAGAAATTAAAGCAATAAAGATAGGAAAGGAAGAAGTTAAACTATCATTATTTGCTGATGATATGATACTCTACATTGAAGATCCAAAAAACTCCACCAAAAAACTTCTAGACTTAATTGACAGATTCAGTAAAGTATCTGGATACAAGGTGAATACCCAAAAATCAATAGCCTTTCTATACACAAATAACAGACAGACAGAAAGAGAAATAAGGGAAAAAATTCCTTTTACAATAGCATCCAAAAAAATGAAGTATCTAGGAATCAATCTAACAAAAGAAACAAAAGATCTCTACACTGAAAACTACAGCACTCTGAAAAAAGAAATCGAAGAGGATATAAAAAAATGGAAAGATATCCCCTGCTCCTGGGTAGGAAGAATCAACATAGTGAAAATGGCCATACTACCGAAACTGCTATATACATTCAATGCAATGCCAATTGAAATTCCAACACTATATTTCACAGAACTAGAAAAAAGAATCCAAAAATTCATTTGGAACCACAAGAGACCTAGAATAGCAAAAGCCATTATAGGCAACAGTCACATGGCACCAGGTGTAACAATTCCCAATTTGAAACTATACTACAAAGCCACTGTGATAAAATCAGCATGGTACTGGCAAAGAAATAGGCCTGAGGATCAATGGAACAGACTGGAAGACACAAAAACAAATGCAGATGTACTCAGCTACCTCATCTTCGACAAAGGAGCTCACCATCCTCAGTGGAGGAAAGATAGCCTCTTTAATAAATGGTGTTGGAAAAACTGGATATCAACCTGTCACAGATTAAAATTAGACCCTTATCTTTCGCCATGCACTAAATTAAAATCCAAATGGATTAAAGATCTAAATATTAAAACAGAAACATTAAACTTGCTGGAAAGTAAGTTAGGCAGAACTCTGGAAGACATTGGTATAGGAAAAGACTTTATGAACAAATCCTCAGTAGCACGGGAACTAGCAGAAAGAATCAACAACTGGGATCTCATCTTACTAAAAAGCTTCTGTACTTCAAAAGAAACCATTAGCAGAACTAAGAGACAATCTACAATGTGGGAAAAAATTTTTACCAGCTGTACCTCAGACAAAGGACTATTATCAAGGATATATAAAGAACTCAAAACAATCAGTCCCCCCAAATATAAAGACCCGATCCAAAAATGGGCATCCGAAATGAACAGACATTTCTCATACAAAGAAGTGAAAGCAGCAAGAAAATATATGAAAAAATGTTCCACATCACTGGTCATTCGAGAGATGCAGATGAAAACAACACTGAGATTCCACCTCACCCCACAAAGAATGGCTGCTATCAAGAAATCACACAATAACAAATGTTGGCGGGGTTGTGGGGAGAAAGGAACCCTCCTCCATTGTTGGTGGGAGTGCAGACTAGTGCAACCACTATGGAAATCAATATGGAGATACCTCAAAGAGCTTGGACTGGAGGTTCCATTTGACCCAGCCATCCCTCTGTTGGGTATCTTTCCAAGAGAACTAAAAGAATCATATCACAGAGAAGTATGTGCACCCATGTTTATAGCGGCACAGTTTGTAATAGCTAAATCTTGGAAACAACCTATTTGCCCATCCGTTGGAAACTGGATAAAGAAGTTGTGGTTTTTCTATAAAATGGAATATTACTCAGCCATAAAGAGCGAGAGAATAGATTCATTCATAGGAAAATGGATACATATTGAAGATATACTCCTAAGTGAAATAAATAAGTCCCACATGTGTAAATACCAAATAGTTTCCCTGGTGTGAATATTCTGCAACAATGCATAAGATTCTAATAAGATTACTGACATTTAGAAATGGGAGGAAAGGAGCTAAAGGTGTAGGGAAGGTGTGATACGTAGGGGAAGAACAAAAAGGGAAAAGAAAAAAATGTGAGAGAATGAAAAGATGAAAATAAAGTGTTTGTAGATGGGGAGGGGAGGAGGGGGTGAAGGGAGGGCAGAGGTAAGGGGAAAAAAATGAGAATCAAGACTTGCCATGTAAAGGTACATGATCCCAACAATGAATGTAACTGTACTGTATCCCTAAATGTACCAATAAACTCAATAAAAAAAAAATTCGTAAAAGAAATGCCTGTATCAAATATATATATATATATAATGTTTGGCTTCCAGTAATATCTTAAAGCTTACTATGGCCCAAATACTGAACTCATCTTCAATCTTCTCAATATAGAAAGTTCATAAAAGATCATCTAAATCCAAAGGTTATGGTATCCACAAATTCTCCTAGAAGCTTCTGTTTAAGTACATGCAGCAGAAAAGGCAGAGAAAATCTAGCTGAAAGTTAACCTACTGTTTCTCTCATCTGTGTGCTTTGGCCACATAGATAATTTAAGTAAGAATAAACATAATAAAACTTCTATTTGTAAGTTTTTACATAAGCTTACGTTGTCAATTTTTCATTACTTGTGGTTGTAGAGGCAACAATAATCCAGATATCTATATGTCTATAGGCTCACCTGCTTTTTGCAGATTTGCAAATCCTTATCTTTTTTAAAATTGAAATTTTTAATGTGAGAAAAAAGCAGATAAGTATATTATCGTTGTTATATCTTAAGTATACAGGGGTTAAATTTTCAGTATATTTACACTTCCTTGTTATACCTCCCTTCTATCTTTTATCAAAGTTATATATTTAAAAGAAAACACAAAAGGAAGCTCTCTTTGATATGGTGAGGCCAGAGTAGGAATCTCTTTCATTCTATTTCTACAAGTCTGAGAAAACTACTCCTGTTTAAAATATTCTCCCTGATTTTCTAACTATTCAGTACAAACTATTCTAGTGAACTTCTATAATAACTAATGGGCTAATCACAAGAAAATACACACAAAGTTAGGGGACAGGAAGTGTAGTAGTTTCTTGAATCACACTTTAACCCCTTACTACCTTATTACATTTCTTAAAAGAATTATAATAGATGAGATAATAAAAATTCAATTTGCAGGAATGAAGAGTCTACATGGATTCACAGTCAAGGAGGAATTATGTTCTAACATATTATTATAACAGGAATTACATTCCAACGGAATCCAATATTCTTCAAAGAGCATAACTAATAAAGAAATGCCTTTTTTAAAGATAAGAGAGAATCCCCCACACACCATTGGGCAAGAGGCTTCTTACCTGAGAAAGAAAAAATAAAGGATCATCTCTGTACCCTAGCCTTGTGTAGACAAACACAGGCAGAGCATGCTCATGAGATGTCATAGCAGAGATCCTCATAGATTCATGCAGCCGAAATTTTGAGAAGTGCAGAACTTTTTCACTGTCTCTGAAAGATTTCTTGATACTAATAGAAGGGTATAAAGCAGCACTACTATTCCAGAGCCAAGAGAGTTCATTATTCTTCAAAACTGCCTCTTCTGGGCATGAACCTGTATAGTTAGGGTCATTCATATTGTAATTGTGGCAGTCAGGATATAAATAATAACCCCAAAGGCCCTTAGGTCGCTTTTTAATACCCAATTTGATGGTTTTCATCATGAATTTTTTTGCACTTTCTTCGAAGTTTGCTTTGGCTAAATATTCAATATCAGTAGCTTTTACATTCTGTTGCCTATCAGAAATCAACTCTTTTGACTTCTGTCGGTAAACATCTTTTGCATTCCAGTTCCGAGCCCACTGTGGACGCCAATATTCCCAGTCTATGATAGCAAGTCCACTGAAATCTTTAGCTGGTATGTAATAGTCAATGTCTTGGCCAGCTTTTTTGAGATGTGCTTTTAAGCTCATATTTTGAGGGATACCCCCATTAATGGGGACCCCCTGTGATGTATACCAAGGATAATATCCCAATCTGTTGGGATAAAATATAGTGACATTTTGCCCACTGGCCTTGATCACTGTACTTCCAGTCACCTGAAAGATCTGCAGATTCATTCTTATATTATATCTCTTCAGACATTGATCTGTTGGAGTATTCCACGCAGCTATAAAAGGTTTCCTTTGATACATTGGAAGTTGGGCAGGTTTTAGAGAACAGACAGAATTCAGATTAAGAAATGCGATCAGCCATGATGTAAGATGTATTGATTGAATAATACAAATCTTGAATTGTCCTTCTGGTAATAGTTTCATGATAAGAAAAACTTATGTTGTCCTTTGTTTTAATATATTCCAGAAGACCTGTGGAGAGATTTAGGATTAATGATTATTTTTAATAAAATGATTTAAATATTGGATAGATATTATATACTTACATTTTGAAAGGACATTTTAGTGCTTTTCAATCCTCAGTACCACAAATAAATAAATAAGTACATTTTATTTTAAAGTCTTAAAATGATCTGTAAGTTGGGATACAAAAGCAAATATGGTGTCCAGGCTTTGATTCAGAAACAAGCAATGTAATTCAATAAACATTCATGGAGAACCAGACCCTGTGTCAAGAACCAAAAAATGAGTAAGATATAACCCTTACCTTCAAGGATCTTATAATAAAAAAAATGTGAAAAAATATTCACCATCAACTTGCAAAGCTCAGGAGTCCCAGGTATTGTGCATATGTGCTTTATAAATAGTACCTCATTTAATCTTCTAATAACTGTGTGAGGCTTATAATTACATTTCTATTTTACAAGTAAAGGTATGGAGTCTTGAGAATAAGAGGCTAGAGTGGTGTCCCATTACTTAAAGCATAAGGCAATGTAGACTTTGAATAGTTACAACATGTGCAGAATAGTTTATTAAAGCAATTGTCTATTCTCAAAAATATGAAATAACTAGGAAGAGAACATGCTGAGTGGCAAGAAATACTGTAGAGAAGGTATGACACTCAAGGTGAGCTGAATTTATTGGTTGGAGTTTAGATGGTGAGAGAGGGAGAAGGTAAGTATTTTGTCATTTCTTTTTTACTCATGTTTGTAAAAACAACTACAAAATAATCATTTTTTAACACGCTCATCAGAGGGTTCAAAGGCAAAAAAACTTTGCACTCTTCTGAAAAATGAAAATGCACTACAATTACGCCTAGCACAGTGATACTAAGATCTGCAACAGACATTTGTCCTTTTACTAATGCCTGGAATGTTGAGTTGCTTCCTATGGAGTGAATTCTATACTGTAAGTATGTAGGTAGGAGGCAATGCCTATAACTCACTAAGTAATCCAACACGTGCAAATGCTTTCCCAGCCTTCCTTGCAGATTGGGTGCCAATATGGACTTTGGCCAAGCCAATTAGATGCATTCTACTCTAAACTTTGAAATAGGATCTTGGGATTCAAAGAAGCTGAGAAGTGGCATTGCTAATGGTGACAGAAATTCCAATGTCCCAGGGCAATTGGATCTGGGAACATCAGAACCTGATGTCCACAGTGCTACTGTTAAGTGGCAACACTGACATTGTGGGACAGCAATTTTCAGGTCAAGTAAGCTAAGTTCTATTTTGGTTGGTTACAACTGGGAACTCCATTTGATGGGGGTTCTTTCCATGGAACTTGTAGCCTATGAGCATTTCCTCTAGCAAAGCCCCAGCATCTGTATTGCTTGTTGTAGTAATTTTCATTTTTAGCCACCAGCTAACCCCTATTGTATTTCTCAGACCTAGGACACTGAAGTGAACAAAAGTCCTACATAAGCAATATATGAAACTATGCATAGAAATTAAAGAAGTACTAAGTAAATGGATATACTAACATATCAGTTTTTAAAAGCTATAGAGGTACACACTTTCACTTGTTGAATAAATGTCTATATTCCTGTACAACCCAAAGATCAGTAAGATTATCCTTCTTGGCAGAATGAAGTATAACAAACAGAAGGTCTACACTATGGTTTCAAGAAAACAGTGTTTTTTTGTTTTTTTGGGGGGGTTGGTTGTTTTTTGTTTTCTCTGTGTGTGTGTTTTTTTTCCTGGTACTGGGTATTGAACTCCGGTCCTTGCATTTGCAAGGCAGGTGATGGAACCACTGAGCTAAATCTCTGGTCCAAGAAAACAGTGTTTTCAATGGAATCTAATTTTATGAGTATAAAAAGATTTCTGGTGCTCAAAACTGTCCTATATATTTGCTATTTTATTGTATTCTGCCTCAGAATAGGGAAAATGGGTTTGCATATGAGTTCAACACTGAGAGGCTCTTTGAACTTAGATTCTTCTGTGAAAAGACTATATATGAGTACAAAAAATAAGTTTCTACCCAAATTTGCTGCTTCTGCTCTTGTTTTTATTTAAAATGTGACTTTTTACTCCCCCCCACCACCACTTCACTGCCGTAGGGCATTCTCATACGTTTATTACAAATTTGTCAATTGATTCTTTTCCTATATTTCCTGGTAATGGAAGGTATATGTTACCATGGCAGGTGGCAGGCATGACTCTTGATGAAATACGCAGATACACAGTGAATATGAAATATGCAGATACACAATAACTAAGTAAAATTCTGTGCTGTGCCATCTGTGTGCTGAATGCCTCATTTCCAGTGGACTCTCCATTACTCTCCTAAATAAGCCAGGATTTGACACCTCCTCAACACTCTCTTCAGTGCCCCACTCTTACCACGCTATCTACCTATGTGCTTCCCTTGTCCTCCCTTATTCACCAGGGAGCCCCTTGCGGTCTGCTCTTCAAAAGGTGCTCTTTATATCAGAATTCCTCTACTCTCTTTTCCTCAGTACACCCATGTCATCAAATTCCCACCCTGTGCTCTGTTACATCTGAACAACTGTTGTAGCACAGAAAATTTCCTGAGTCTCCTTATCTAACCGTGGGTCACCAACAGAAATTTGCCTTTGCCTTCCCGCTTCTGCTCTCATAATCTTCCCAGGGAGGTTTTCTCCTTTTAAACAAATCTCTGATTGACAGAACTGAGTAAGCATTGGCAAGACCTGGAGTGAGGAATTTAACCTGAACTTGATACATCATGAGTCAGCTTTCGGTCACCATGATAAAATACCTGAGAAAAACAATTAAAAGAGAGAAAGACTTCTTTGGACTCATAATTTCAGGACTTCAGTCCATGGTGAGCTAGCTCCATTGCTTTGGGCTTGAGGAGAAGCAGAAGGGCATGAGAGTGGAAAGTTCTCACTGCATGGCAATAGAGGCATAGGAACTAGTAAGGGCTATGGACACAATATACCCTGCCAGGTTACATCCCCAGTGACCTACTTCTTCCAACTTGGCCCAGCTCTTAGAGTTTCCACCACATCCCCATAGTGCCATCAGATGAAGTCCAAACTTTCAACACATGAGCTTTGGGGGCCATTTAATAGTCATGCTACAGTCAAGAGAAAAAGAAGTCTGGTTGCTGCTCAAGCTGGCAGCAGATCTTAGTATCATCCACATGATGCTGGTTTTAGGCACATGCAGAATGCAAGAGCTGTGGAATCAGGAAGGCTTCCAACAAGATATCAGAAGGCCTAAGAGGCCAGGCAGTGTGCCACTGAGAGGCAGTGTGTGAAGCTGTGAATGTGAAGCCAAAGGTGGAGAGCCTAGAAGTTTGGAGAAGCCAGGAACATGAACTTTCAGAGGATACCTGCAAAGAAGGAGCAGAGCCAGTACCAGAGAGAAGCCATGGTAGCTACAACCACCAGAAGTGCCACAAAGGCAGAGCCACCAAAGCCCTTTGTAGTTCGCAACTTGCCACAAATTTCTAAGGATGCTGGAAGTGGAACTGTGGATTTAATGTTTGCTCTACTGGATTTTGGTCTTGCTTTGTTCCAATTCTTTGCTACCCTCCTGTTTGTAAACTTTGTAATGAAATGTTTATTTTGTGTCACTGAATTTTGGAAGTGTTTCACTGTCTTTTGTCCAGGAGCTTGCAGCTAAGAATTTGCCTTAAAGCTCAGAGGAGACTTTGAACTTGGACTTTTTAGTAATGCTGAAACTGTTAGGACTTTGGCAATTCCTGAAGATGGACTGAATGGCTTTTTGTGTAAAGGGAAATACATGATTCTTCAGGGGATAGGGGGAAAATGTGGTTTTGGTCTGGATATTCCCCCCTAAAGCCTCATGTGGCTTTTCACAGGTGGCTGAATCTAGAGTGTGTGATGCTGGGACTAAGGGTGTGATTACTAAACCAGTACACTGATTGGTTTGGCACTGCCCTAATCCCAGTTGTCTGGGTAATATAAAGGGGGCAGAAAGATGCTGTTAAGTTTCCTTTGTTGCTTTTGCTGTCTTCTGCTTCCATTAACTGTTGCCCCTCTCCTGTCCCGCTCTGCCTTGGAGCCAGCCCATTATGGACTGAAATCTCTACAGACTGTGAGCTAAGTAAACCTTTCCCCCTTTAACTTTGGTTGTTGGATATTTTGTCTCAGCAATGAGAAAAGTAACTAAGACACCTAGGCAGTGAGGGGACCTCTGGGTTTAAAAACCTACTGGACTAAACTCCCCTCTGTGGCTAAAAAAGCAGCTGCCTAAATCAATTTGCTTCAGTTTTCTCTGCTGATGTGTAGTTTTTCCAGTTTTTTCCTGGTCTTATTGAGCCCCATCTCAACAACTTTTAAAAACATATATGTGTGTGTATATATATATATATATAT